TAACTTAGGTTTAATTGATTATGCGTGCATCATTTTTTTTAGAAAAATCAAGTTAAAATGTGAGCACCATATATAATACATCAGGCTTTTGGGTAACGTTTATTTGTTCATCTCTCAATCATGTCTTTATTGCATTGCATTACATTTTTAATAATGAAAACTACAGAGCTTTGATCATAAAACTGAGCATTTAAATATCATCCGTATTAAAACATTATTGCGAGGTATAAATTGAAAACTGATATTTATATGCATTTTATGTAAGTAGTGCTGTTATAAATATCTCACTGATTTACGTTACAAACTCAAAATGTCATCTTATTTTTGATCTAATCTCCATATTCTTCTACATTATGCTATATGAGCCATAAAAGCCTGGTGTATCAAATGTGATGCTCAACATAAAACACATTTGTGACACTGGAGCACAAAACCAGTCATATTTGTAGCAATAGCCAAAAATACATTGCATGGGTCAAAATTATTGATTTTTCTTTTATGCCAAAAATCATTAGGATATTAAGTAAAGATCATGTTCCATGAAGATATTTAGTAAATTTCCTACCGCAAATATATCAAAACTTAATTTTTGATTAGTAATATGCATTGCTAAGAACTTAATTTGGACAACTTTAAAGGTGATTTTCTCAATATTTAGATTTTTTTGCACCCTCAGATTCCAGATTTTCAAATAGTTGTATCTCGGCCAAATATTGTCCTATCCTAACAAACCATACATCAATGGAAAGCTTATTTATCAGCTTTCAGATGATGCATAAATCTCAATTTCCAAAAATTTACCCTTATGACATATGCAAACTTTTTATCAAAAGGTTAAATAAACTGTTGCATTTAAAAACATTTTTTCAGGTTATTTCAAATGTCAGACTTTATAGGGTTAATACATTTACTAAATAAAAGGAAGCCATGTAGTAGACTGTGTATGGTTTTCAGAGGCTTTAGAAATTTGTGTATCAAAAATTGTGTTATAGATTTAAACACAAGAACAGGTAAAGACAATCACTGCAAGAAATAGATAATGTTAAGCATTACAAACAGGCTATGCTATAACAGATACCAGCTTTGAGTGGAGGAAAAGCCAGAGGAGGGTCTTCTGGTGGGTGAGCTCTTCTCTTCTTCCTCCATCGGCGAGCAGGATATGTGTACAGCTGTCCCGGTGCGGTACCTTAAAGAGAAATCATATGTTAGCAGCAGTAGGACGGACTGAGAATGGAATAAGTGTATTGGGCTGATGCTGAACCTGCACTCCTGTGTCTCTTCTCCATCCAAATGTAGCAGTTGCTTTGAGCGACTCCAGTCTGGGAGTCCAGGAAGGGCATGAGGATGCTCCTCTCTGCACACAGCCGGGCGTTATAACTGTGACACTGCTCCAAAGCATCTTTATAGTACTGCTCTCCAAGCCTTCAGTCCACACACACACGCATACAACAACATCAAATACAAGTTACTTCAAAGCATGTGATTTAGATTACCGTTAGTAAACATATTCACATTTGAGTAGTTAAATCCTAGTCTTGGGAAAATAGCAGGGGATTTTTTTACGATTACATTTGGTGCGTCCCAACTAGTGCTGGGCGGTATACAGGTTCATACCGAATACCGGTGTTTCAGACGATGCCGCGATTATAAATGAGAGTGACTCCTGGTTAACGTATTAAAAGGGGTCATGTTTAGTCACTATTTAGTGTGGTATTTTTTGACAATATTCACTCATCATGACAGTAAAATAGGGCATTCTAAGTCTATATACTGCAGTATTTCCTCTCTCACTCAGTAGAAAATATGGTTAACTCCCGGTCATGCATGAAAAAAAAATACTGTCATGTACCGTGAAACCGGTACCATTTTGAAAAATACCGTGATATACATTTTTGGTCATACCACCCAGCACTAGTCACAACGTGCTGATATGTGACCCTGGAGCAAAAAAAACAGTCATAAGTCGCTGGGGTATATTTGTAGCAATAGCCAATAATACATTGTATGGATCAAAATTATAGATTTTTCTTTTATGCCAAAAATCATTAGGATATTAAGTAAATATCATTTTCCATGAAGATATTTAGTAAATTTCCGACTGTAAATATATCAAAACTTAATTTTTGATTAGTAATATGCATTGCTAAGAACTTTATTTGGACAACTTTAAAGATGATTTTCTCAATATTTCCATTTTTTTTGCACCCTCAGATTCCAGATTTCCAAAAATAGTTGTATCTCAGCCAAATATTGTCCTATCCTAACAAACCACACATCAATGGAAAGCTTATTTATTCAGCTTTTCGGTGTATAAATCTCAATTCAAAAACAATTGACCATTATGACTGGTTTTGTGGTGCAGGGTCACATATGCAAACAATGGACAACAATGGACATCAATGGACCCTAATGAGGTGTACTATTTTTTGCCAGTATAAAAGAAGCAACGTCAATACTACAGACATTTTTTTTTTTAAAGTTGAACAAGAAAACACAACAACAAGGCAAAAGAACTAGTGACTGGTTAGTGCCGCAGATTTTAAAAGAACACACATGGCTGTATGTAGCGCTTTGATGTCAGAAAACGATGAATGAACGAGGTGCAGATTTTCATTATTAGCCAAACGCCACCCCAATGCTTCAACCTTACTGTTGACAATAAAACCGTCCCGAACAAGCCACAAATCGAGAATATCACACGGATATTCATTCAAGGAGTTTAAAAACTACATGTACTCACACTTTAACGATATTCTCCACGGCAGTCGCCATTGTTTTGCTGTAGTGGGCTGTTGTTGTCTTCACTGCGCATGCGCACTAGCTGTCCTTTTTGAACGAACGCTACGTTCTAAAATGTTTGATCCGTCATAGCAGATGAAAGCGAACTAGACTCAAGTTTCTGCAAAACTGTACACGATATATGTGACCCTGGACCACAAAACCAGTCATGAGGGTCAGTTTTCTGAAATCGAGATTTATACATCATCTGAAATAAATAAATAAGCTTTCCATTGATATTTGTTAGAATCGGACAATATTTGACCGAGATACAGCTATTTGAAAATCTGGAATCTGAGGGTGCAAAAAAATCTAAATATTGAGAAAA